ATTGTTAAACAAATTAGGTTGGTAGCGGCAAAAAAAAATACTGTCATAACTGGCAACCCGAGTATTTTCCCAGATAAAAATATTTTATTTGTGGAAGTATGTTAAGTCCATAAGAAATATTGTTAAAAGTCAGAGGGTCGCTTGATTTTTCGGCGAGCCGTGGCGCGGTGGAAGGGTGGGGAAAGTCGAGTACAAATAGATGAGGTCAAAATAATATCAGTTCTTCATTTAAATATTTTTCGTACAGGCCTTCGTTAACAAGTTACGGGCCCTCAAAAGTGAAAATTAAAAAGTTATTTTTATTTACAGTCTTTAAACTATTAACTTCAGCATGATGCAAATTTGGTGTTCGATAACACATGCGTGTAGCTTGTTTTTGATGTTGCAAGTGAAACTTCATTATGACCAGAATGCCAGGGACTGAATATGACCAATTGTTCACAACCCAGAATTTTTGCATATACGATGATTGCAATCTGCCTGCATTAAAAATAAGTTACTCGAAGAATTTGCCAACGATAATACCCGCTTGGTTCAACTCGGTAAAATTAACAGTTTAGGAAATATTTGTGATTTTATGCTACACTGCACATCGAACCACCATTTTTTGTTTTCAATTTTTAATTGGACATAATTACTACGTTAGAACAGTATTCACTAACAAAATTTGACAAACACACTTTACACATAACACAAAACAAGAATAAGTTAAAGTAAATTTAAAAAATAATTTAAAAGAAAGAAAACTATCAAAATTCATTTTCAATAAGGGTATCTTGCTCATCCACACCCTTTTTAAGTCTACGAATGTTATTTGATTGTACCCGAAAAAGCATTTCTGTGGTGTGTCTAATAGTATTGCAATGGAAATTAATTCTTTGTAGCAATTCATACCTTGTCTGTACTGGGGTAGACTGAGAAAGTGAATGGAGATGGAAAGTGCCTGTATTGGAGATGTATTTTGATAACTTTTTTACTTTTAAATTATTTTTTTAACTTACTTTAATTTATTCCTGTTTTGTGTTATGTGTAAAGTGTGTTTGTCGAATTTTGTTATGAAAATTACATTAGTAGACAGTAAGACTTTTGTAGGCTCTTATTTTAAAAATAGGTACGGTTCTAATGTAGTAATTATGTTGAATTAAAAATTAAAAACAAAAAATGGTGGAGGCGCCGCTCGATATGCACTGTGACATAAAATATCAAATATTTCCTAAACTGTTAATTTTATCGAGTTGAACCAAAAGAGTATTATCGTTGGCAAATTCTTCAGACAATTTATTTTTGATACATGCAGATTACGATCGTCGTCTATGCAAAAATTCTGGGTTGTTGACCATTGGGCATAGTCCGTCCCTGGCGTTCTGGGCATAATGAAGTTTCACTTACATCAAAAACAAGCTGTACGCATGTATTACCGATCACTAAATTTGCATCATGCTGAAGTTAATAATTTAGAGACTGTAAATAAAAATAAGTTTTTATTTTTCACTTTTGAGAGCCCGTAACTTGTTAACAAAGGCCCGTATGAAAAAAATACATGGAGAACTGATATTATTTTGACCTCATATATTTGTACACCCTGTATTTTAGATATTTACAACTAATGGCTCAGAATATTATATGCTCACATATAAATGTGACTCAGATCAACAATTAACATTATCTTGGAAACAAAGAGGCATAGGTAGTTTTTTTTTTAATTGCCGTGAAAATAAGCTCTATACTCGTATAATGCAAAAAGAGCAAATCCCCGAGCGGCTTTTACCCGACCCAGGGGCAATTTATTTAAAGCGCTGTTTTGCACGTCCTACTTTGTTAAATCTAAAGGGCAATTTAATATCAACTTTTTTTAATTTTTCTTTTTTGATACGTTTCTTTGTATCAATTAGAACCTATATCTACGATATTAACTTCTAAAATTAACGATTGGTAATGAAAAATGACTCTAGATATTTGAAATTTGTGGATAATTGCCTACAACATAAAATAACTAATATTCCGATAAGTCGTCTAGATTTTCGTGGGGAGTAAAATAAGTGAAAACACGTTAATTTGCCACTTATTCGCAATTTGCCAACTTAACGTCACTTCTTTCGAGTTATTTATTTGATATCGTCATTCTACATACCTTTCCCTATCATAAAATGTAATAAAATGTAGACTAATAATTTTTTCAAGTTTTCATGTTTTATGATTTAATTCGACTGGAGTATACTCACATGCTGTCCCTGTACACGTTAATTACAATACCGTATTATTCACTTCCTTTTTTTTGTTTTTTAATTTTAAGTCAGTATTGATTTAGATTTGATATTGTTCAGATTGTGTCTCTATTCTAACGTGTATTACAAGTGCCAATATAACTTGGTTAACTTTTTGAGCAATTTATTGGGATAGAAACTAGCAAATATAAAACAACTTTTAGAATTTAATAAAGGACCCAATATCAATTTATAAAAGTTGTGCTTGGGTCAAAATAGTATTTTTGACAAATAATGTCGAAGGTCAACGGGGACTCCAAGAATATTTATTTTCATATTTTTCTCAGACCGATTTATATCTAAAGAAAATGTCACTAATATATCCAAAAAAAAAATTTTAATATGCAGGGGACTCTTACATATACAATTTTGTAAAAAAATCAAAATGGGCAGTTCGAAAATGATTTAAAAATACACTTCTGCACGGCACTGAAACTGGTTCACTGCAAAACCTGACAGAAAAATTGAAATAATTTCTTTCCCACGGAAAAATAAATAAAAGTTTATAACGTCTATTTTGTATGAGCAAATTCAACCGCCTTTCCCGCTATTGTTATTATTAATTAATTTAATTAATGTGTGGTTTTAGTTAATAAAATAATTTGACGTACATCAAGTACGTCAACAGCAACAACAACACAAATGCTTCACCAAAAATTAAAGTGATATAAGCCATTTTTGACACTTGAAAACTAATGTAAACACGCACCAACGATAATACTAAAATCGGATATTTTTAATCGCCTGGAGCTATGTGGGCGAATGACAATAAAGACTGCAGTAGCCCAACGATGTATAGGTTAAAAATACTACAACTTCAATAATTTTTTTCTCGGAAATTATACAGGGTGTCCCATAAGCACATGATCAAAAAGGTACTGCGACATTCTTTGGCTCAAAAGAAGTCGATTTGACCTAACTTTCATTAAGAAAAATATCTGGTTCCTCTGCTATTGACTGTCAAAGTTCTTGAAAAAAAAAATGTTTTTTGTAATATCTGGAGAATGTTACGATGGATTTTAATGAAACTTGCTGTGGACTTGTTCCTAAGTAAAACTCATGTTTTGATGAAGCAACCGCGTGCGTCCATCTGCTAGTGGTAAATTCTTGAGTGTCTTGGTACAAGAATTACCAGAACTTTTTATTTGGTCACTGGAATTAATTCATTTCAGTTTTATTGATGCATCAGTCCTTTTTCGAGATTTTCGTGCTCTGTAAAATTTTGTAGCATTCATAGTTTTTACGCAATTTTTTTTTTTTCAATTTTAGACAATCATTATCACTACTACTCAAGTACCTACAACAACTACTCACTACAATTACTACTGTCGTAGTAAGCGATGATGTTATTTTATAATAAACGAATTGTCAATCAATTCGTTTCGATTGGCGTTTTCTAATGAAGAGATGACCGACTGTTCAGTCTTAGGGTTTTGCGAAGACAACTTGGGTGGGAGTATACGCGTCTACGCGGCGCGATACCCAAATCGACGGGTTCCAAATTACTGATTTACATGGATTGAAAAGAGTTTGCGGGAGACTGGGCAATTTGGTGTTCGAGCCGTTGACTGTGTGGGTCGTCCTGAAGTACGAAATACAGCAGTTGAGGGAGACGTTTTAAATAGGGTCGCTGAAGATCCAAATATCAGTACTCGCCGTCTGACAGTGGAATTTGGCGTATCAAAAAGTACAATTGAAGCAAAACGAAGCAAAATTTCGGTATAGTTCATAGGAAAAATTTTGTAGAGAATTGAATTTCCCAACGAAATGGCCTATTTAAAAAATTTAAAAAAAACATTTTATGCAAAAAAATCGTTAAAAACAATTTGAAAAAAAGCAAAAAATTTATTTTTTTATATTTTTTTGACTTTTTTGACACCAATTTCTGTTAAAAACGACAAAACTCTAAAAAATTTTTATTTGATCGGTTATAACTCAATCAATATTAGTCCAAAAACTTTTGAAAATTCATCATTTTGAAGGGAATCTCATCTAGCTCTTTTGTACAGCAATTATTTTCTTTGCCTACTTCTACTAAGAAAAAAAAAATACAGTCAAAAAAGTAAAAAAAATCAAAAAATCTTATTGTTTACTTTTTCAAAATGTTTATTAGCGATTTTTTTGCATTAAATTTTTCTTTTAAATTATTTAAATAAGCCATTTCTATAGGAAATTCAATTCTCTACGAAATTTTTCCTATAAACTATTTCGAAATTTTGCTTTTATTTAAAAAACTGCAAAGTGCATTTTCACCCCTATCTTCAATTTCAACCCTCTAATTTAATAGCACTCCGCGGTTTTTTCATCTCAAATAACCCTTTGAACGATTCATGCAATAAAACTGCTTGAACGTCATAGTTCCTTTCAACCCTGTTTCTTGGATATAATCAATAGCCTATATTGAATAAAGTATAAAACATCACTAAAATTAACAAAAGAATTTGTTGGGCATCCCTTATTGATTTCGTCAGATGCTAGATACTTAATATAAGAAGGGATATTGAAGTCACCCAAAATTATTAGTTTATCACCATGTAAGAAATTAGAGATTGCTGTTATAGCATCAAAGAATAATTTATACATTTCAGAATCAGCATTGGAGGGACAAAAAATATTACAATATACCGAAAAAGATATTATATCTTTAAAATCTCGGGAAGCGAATCACGCCCGATCTTACGAATTGTTTTATGAAAAATCTGTTCTAAAAGTTTGTTTCAACTTTGTTCTATACAATTAACGCCCTATTAGTCGCCCCATTAATAATGAAACTTGAAAAAACAATCTACTCACCTCTCTGTCTCCAGTTAAGTCTATTTTATTTCCAACAACGACTATAGGTACATTATTGGAACACTTTGTTTCGTAAATTTGGTCTCTTAGTGCTCTGGCTTCTTCAAATGTAGAAGTGTCAGTTACATCGTAAACTAATATAAAAGCATCCGCTGATGAAATAGACAAGGCCCTCATGGCAGGAAACTCGTATGCTCCAGAGGTGTCGAGAATATCCAGGGTTAAGTGAACCTAGAGAAAAAAAATTGATTACTTCCTAGTTACTGGTTATATTGGCAGAAAATATAGGTTGTTTCAGAATAACGTACTGTAAATTGGTTTCACAGAGCTTTAAGGTACAACTTTTTTTATGAATTTTGTCAATATCTCTAAAAATCATATTCAAATTTAATAGCTGTAGTTTCAAGAGGCTCTAAATATCATTAAATTTGTTTTTTAATAGGTAACTTATACAGGACATTTGTAATTAAGGAAACCATATATATTTTAGGTCATAATTCTGGAGTTCTGATAAAAATTGTGGAAATTTACATATATTTTTTACAAGTTTCTTTCTCTTTTCTGTGTTTTTATTATATTTAATGCAAATACACGAACAAAAGTGTAAATTTACACTAACCTGTTTTGGCTCAAACAATCAGATTATCACGTGACTATTCGGTGTAATGTTACCGTGTGCATGTAGAGGACTGTGCTAGCGGTCTGGCAGACCACATGTTTAGAGTCGTTTGTAGCGTAGTAATACAGCATAGTGCTTTAACTACCTAAATGTAGTGTTTTCAATAAATACTGAGGTAAAAAATAATATTCAACGTTATTGAAGAATATGAGGAATGAGAATTAATATTTTAAATAATATCCTATAAGTATTATTTATCCCTATATATCAATTACTGGTTTAATAAACCTTTTAAAAGTTTTAGTTAATGTCATGATTTTTGTTTAATGTCATTTTTCCTTCATTTAGATACCTGGCACCTTACCACCTTGGAAAATCTTAAATTATGTAAAGAAATATATTTTAGAAATTTTAGATTGTGGACGAATTTAATTTTACAAACGATTTGGATTCAGAAAACAACCTTTCTTGCCTGCAGCTATTAAGTTAACAGAGAAGGGCTTAGAATTCATTATATACAAAATCAATACTTTTTACTCGACTTTTTACTATTGATGGGCCCATGATGCGAACTACAGAAAAACGAAAAGAAATGAAGGGTCTTAGATAAAATAACGAAAGTTTCTATAAGTCACTTGATTTCAGCGTTGTTGCCGCTGTACAGATGTACTTAACTATTTGTGGTTCATAATAGTTAGGTGGAATATGATAAAAGAAAATGATGTATAACTTAACTTTAAGAACGGCTATATTAAGTTGTTTTTATTATAATATCGGTGCAAACAGGCATTCATAACTGGATTAACAGGTGAAATAAATCCTACTAAAAGTTGGGATGAGATTAAACAAATTTTAAAGTCTGCTTGTTTTTACTTAAGAAAACCGACAACGAACAGTTGAACGCAATTCAGAATCAGTTCTCGTTCTCAATTTGAATAATAAATTTGTTAAAAGAGAGAAAAAATATTAATTGAGAAAATTAATTAAATAGTACATGTACTACAACACTCTAGTCCAAATATATTGTGGCAAATGTTTCAGAACTTTATGTTAACATTTGACAGCCATTCTCACCTATCCCACTTAGCTTATTTTGGTTTATTTCCATATTTCTCAAAAAAATTATTCATCTAGCATTGATTCATTTCCTGTCAACTAAAGCTTTTGTATAATTTTTTTTTAGACCATGAACACCTGCATATGTGTGCTCGTACAACGTGTCCACTGACGGACAACGAAAATTAAATAGTTTGTAAGAGTGTTTATAAAATTTTCTAGACGAGATCTAAGCGCTTCTGATAATCAAAGTTTTGTTTGTTCTTATTTACCCTAACACTTCCAATTTTGCTGGATTATAGGACATTACAAAGGTAAAGTATCATTTAAAAGAGTTATTGGTGAAATAACTTTAACATATGAAAAGTTTGCAATATTTCTCATACAAGTTGAAGATGTCTAGCAAATGTAATCCTTATCTTGCATACAGGATGTCCTATAATTAGTGTGCAATTCGTTAGCAGTAGATTCTACGATCAAAAATAAGATTATGTTTTCCTATAAACAAGGATCGAAAAATGCTTCCTAAGGGGGCGTAGCTCCTTAGGCTGCAGATCATATTTTTCAAAATATTTCCAAAACCAGTTAACGTATCATTATGAATTTTGGTACGTTGGACACTCAATGAATGTTTTAACGAACTACAGAAAACTGTTTAAAAATTTTAGTCAAGCAGGAGAGCGCACGGGTAAAATGCGCCCAAAATTTTTGCATGTCAATATTTTTAAATTAAAACATCAAACTATGATAGATGAGTTTTTCAGAAAAAAATGTACTCTTGATTTACTTCTACAAAATGCTTCGTTTTCGAGAAAAAAACAATTCTAAAGTTTTATTACATAATCTCAAGAATGGAAAAATTACATGAATACGTATGTAGGCCACGAAAACAAACGTTTGTTACGGTGCTGTATTGGATATTAAGTAAAATCTAAAGAAAAAATGCAGAATTTTAATAATAAACGGAAAATGGATCTTTTAGAAAACTGCGTGTTCAAGGAAGACCAAAAAATAATTTTGAAAATACCTTAAATCAATTTGATGATAATTCTAATATTTACAAATAGAAACATCAAACTATGATAGAAATGGTTTTTTTTATAAAAAAAACTGACTCTAGATCGCAAAAATTGGGGGCGCATTTTACCCTTGCCTCCCCCCCTGCCTGAGACACCTTTGACTAAAATTTTTAAACAATTTTCTAGTAGTTCCGTTAGAACCTTGATTGAGTATCCAACATACCAAAATTCACAATGATACGTTAACTGGTTTTCAAAATATTTAAAAAAATATTATCTCCTCAGGCCCCTTTTGGGGGGGGGGGGGGCGTAACTCCCTTAGGAAGCATTTTTCCACCCTTGTTTATAGGAAGAAATAATCTTATTTTTTATCGTAGAATCTACTGCTAAAGTATTGCACATTAAGGGACACCTTGTATATTAGTTAGCTTATTTGTTTTATTTGTCTGTTATTTTTTATATTTAAGTTATTTTATCTGGATTTTATATTTTAATTGTTATATTTTGTGTAGTACTTATATTTTTATTAACACCTAAGTCTGAATTTTGTATTTTATATTTTGATTGCTCTATTTTGTGTAGTACTTATATGTATTTCTATATTTAATGTTAAGTTTGTCCTTTTCTTTTTAAATTTAGTTAAGGTTTTCTGTTTTACCTTATCCTGCAATTGGGACTTTGTCCCGTTGGATATTGTAATTTCTAAATTAATTAATTAAACTCCAGCCCGTTATATGCTTTTTCTTCGAGTCACATGATTACAATCCTGCTTCAAATTTTTGTTCACCGACCATAAACTACGGTACCAGATCCATAATTTAAACTCGGGGTGTCGGCACTTTACTAGACCGTGAATCAATTGAGTGGCATGGTCACATTTCAATCCATATGACTTTTATTTATGAAGTGGTTTGAAATAGCTGTTCCACTCCAGGCAATACGGTTGAGGCATGACGAGAACGAATAAAGATTGCCGCCAGAATAATCGCAACGATCCGGAAATCTTAGTAAAAGTGAAAGAAAATTTTCAACTAAGCGTTTCTATTTATACTCCAGTGGCGGTAACAAAAATTTAAAAAAGTGTATTGCCTTAGAAACGAAGAGATTTTTGAAAAAATGTGAAACAAAGTTGGTGCTTTTGATGAATTAAATATTCGGTAAATATTTTTCCACTTACGTCTGGGACACTCTGTAGGTTAAGATAAATTAATTATTCAGATATCGATTAATTCACCAACTTTTACGAAGGTTTTGAAACAGTTAGTCCAATTCACACCTCCATCAACTTATAACAATAACCGCGAGAATGGGAAATCCAAAAAGGCGATATTGATTAGTACTATTCAGTATTAATCTACCACCATGTATGAGGCATATCCAAAAAGTACAAGGTATGAGATTATGATGATCTGTGGTCTTTGTTTTCGACAAAGTTGGCAACACTACATTCAAGGCCAAGGTGTTGAGAACAGAACGCGAGTTCATTTGTCTCAGTCAGTTGAGAACTGTTGTTGTAGTGGCGTGTTGAAATGAGTGCCGTTATTCCGAATCCCACCAGCTGCGAGGTGTACTGCCCTGTTAAGCCATAAAGTCGTAACTGCAATTATCCCCAATTTCAAGTACAGAGTTACTAATACTCCACGACATCAGTTTTATCATTTTGTTAAGAAAAAAGGACGAATTTGTTATTATTATAGGCTATATACTTCAAAATGTGAATGTCGTATCTACAATTTCCATGTCTTTGTTAGAAATAAAGTCGTATCTGAAAATGTTAGAATAAAAAGTCGTATCTGTAATATTTATCACACAGATGCGACCAATTCGTCTAACAACTACAGTCACTATACAGTCACTAAATAACATATCTACAGTCGCTAGATAACATATGTTATCTAGTGACTGTAATTTAGTGACTGTACTAACAATTGTACAACTGCGCCATCTACAAAATAATATCTACCATCTGTCAGATTCAGTTTGTAACTAGCTAGCAGATAAACAGTGATTTGCTGTGGGAATTATTCAGTTTTTAATTAGTCTCGTTCATTCTAGACTGTTAAATTGTGAGGTCGTAATATTTATTATAACGTATCCCCGGAGTTGTTTTAGTAAGTAATTAATTTTTTTGTTCCTGTTAATCTAATTATGCATATTATCAAACATAACCTAAAACATAAAAAACGTGGTAAATGATCAGTATCTTTCTTTTTTTCTCGTTACAGCTAAGAATTTCAAACAATTTCCAATTTGAGTAAACGGGGTAAAGTTATGGTTGCTCTTGCTCTGAACAAGCAACTTGCTGAGAAAATCGATTTTTTTTTAAAAAGTTGAATTATTCAAAAAGGCAGCGAGAGGATGATAGTAGTAGCAGCGAATATGAGCCATAGATATGGAAGAAATGGATAGGGCTAGTGATAGTAATAGTAGTAGTAATTGTAACAGTTTTAAAGATATTGCAAATGTAAAAACAAAAATAAAGGTCATAAACAACGCGTCGTTATACAAAGAAGAGGAAGTTTTTGTAGAAAGTGTAG